TTATATATATATATACTGTATATATGTTTTTTGTGGGTTTAATATATTATTAATATATTATACTGTATATACAGAATCCATACGTTTTGGGCAAACTTAACGTATTTGTCAATATCTGTGAACACTTGACGGCCAGACAACTGGCCATTGCATTGAACCAATTGGTCGGTCAATGCGAGACCACTAACGCTATTGTCGGCCACTAAAGACCCGAAGCATATCATATGAAAAAATTAATTAATTAATAGATAAATAAAAGTAAATAACTAAATAATAAATTAATTGCATAAAATATTGTATACTTTATATACATTAATTATTTAATTAATTAAACAATTTAATAAAAAAGTTTTATTTAAGATAATTATTAATTTATATTCAATATATTTAACTAATAGTAGTTCTCTAATTAAAATTAAATAAACTATTATTATTATTTTTTTAAAATACTATTATTATTCAAAATAATCGTCTAATAATTTATTATATTTATCTATAATGTACTTTACATATATATTTTTTTATAATATTAATGAGTAATCAGTAAATAAATCAGTATTAAATAATCTAAATTATTTATAATATTTACAAAATAAATAAAAACAAATTATTTAATTTATATTTTTTCTAAATAGTTAAAATATCATAATAAAAAATAGTATTATTTGTATATTATTATTATTAGTATTATTAGAATAAATTATATTAAAATAATAATTATAGCATTTTATTCAAAAAAAATACATTTAGATAACAAATTATTATATAATTTATTTATATAGGCAATAATATATGTAATTTTATAAATAATTATAATAATATTTTGAAACATTTTTTTTATACAAATTTAAAATTATTTTTAATGTATATATAGTATATATATATATATTATTATGTATATGTATATATGTTTATAGTTTTATACAGTATATATATATAACAACAAAAAATACCTTGGCAACTATGATAGTAGCAGTTATGCAATTAAATTATTTAATATTAAATACAAATAAAATTTTAAAAATATATTATAGCTTAGATATTAAAAATATCAATATTACTATTCAAAATTATTAACAAACAAAATAAATATACTTAAAATGATTGATAATAAAAGATTATTAATAAAAAAATATTTACAATTAAATATAATACTATTAATAATTATATATATATATATATATATATATATATAAAGTATTATTCAAACATCAAAATTCAATTTATTGTTTGACATATAACGGAAAAAATTCAATTTTTTTTAACATATAATAAAATTAATTTATATTATTTAAATTATATATGATTATATACAATGTTTATTGTTAGCTACAATATAAATATAATACAAAATATAATTAAAATAATAATTACTATTTTAAATGTTAAATTAGACACTAGACTACAAGTTTTTACTATTTTTCTATTGTATTAATTTCTACTATTTTTTTAAAATTAATAAATATTCAACAGCAAAATAAAAACATTTATTTAGAATATTATATATATATATATAGTAATCATAACTAAAATATTACATTAAAAAATATAGCAATATATATACTTGATAATATTCTTAATAATATCAATTCAAAAAAAATGTTATTGAAAATTAAAGTTAAATATTCTATATATTTATTATTTTTAGCTATTTTTTTGTATCAATTCTATAGAATTACTAATAAATATTTAATGTTTGAATCAAATATTGATTACAATTTAATTACAAACACTGAAATACCGGCGCTAACATTATGTGTGGATAAATTAACATAACAATATTTGACGTAAAATTATTTGGATACCAATACACAATTAAAAGTAATGTTAAATTTTATATTGATAATTTTAACACCAATTTAACACTAATTGAACAATTAAATAATATGAAATCATTAGAACATAATATTGATTGCAAAGTTTTTAACAATACTAGTAGTTATGAAAAATATGAAAATTGTTTTACATTTTTATCTATTAGTAAATCAATTAACTATAATGATATTTGTTATGCATTTAGAATAAAATCCAATAAGTTCCAAAATTGATTTACAATCGAAATTAATTTATGAATTAATTATTCATGATAAAAATAAATTTTCTAATAAATTAATAAACTTGTTGATTCATTCACCAACTGATAATATTTATAATAGTTATCTACATAAAATCATTAGGTATACTATTAAATAAAAATCATCTATCTTATATAAGTTATAGTCGCACATTAATATCTTATAAAACAATTAATAATTATAGTTGGAATAGTTGGATATGTTTTGATAATATCACTAATAAATAATGTATTACTGATTGTATTGTTGATGCAATTATTAATCAAACAATTTATTTAATTTTATATATCTTAAATATTTTATATAATCATATTTTTGGCATTCATCATTAGAAAAGTATAAAGCCAGTGGTAATCGAAAATTTAATAAAATATCACAAAAAAAAATTTTTTTGAAATTAAAAAACAACTGCACCGCAAAATGCAAATCAATTCATAGCTGTTTAAAAAATTATTATCAATTAAGTCAACAACAAATTGAATTCCCGCAAACTCAACTAAATCAATCATATTTATTATCAAATTATCCGGATATTTTTATTAAAAAACTAATTAAAATAACAACTGAAGATTATATATTTTTTATTGGATCATTATTTGGATTAATTTTTGGTTCATCATTAAGTTCACTAACTTATAAAGGATGTAAATTTATAATTAAAACTCAATTATCTAATAATAATAATATTCAAAACAATTTACTGTTTAGCCACTGTTTACAGCTTAATAATAAATATTAATATAATTTATGAACATTTTTAATTAATTAATTTATTTATTTATTTATTTGGTCTCATTATAATTAAGATCCCAGCAAATATAGACCAATCACTTGCCTAACAACAATGTATAAAATCCTAACATCCATAATATCAACAAAAATATATAATCATTTAAGCAACAACAACATAATAGCTGAAGAACAAAAAGGCTGTATAAAACACTCAATGGGCTGTAAAGAGCAATTAACAATAGACAATATCATAACAATAAGAGCTCGTCAAAAACATAGAAATCTTGAAATGGCATACATAGACTATAAGAAAGCATTCGATTCAGTCCCACATAAATGGTTATTAAGAGTGTTAAAACTATATAAAATTGACAACACACTGATAAACACATTAGAAAATATGATGAAAAAATGGAAAACTAAATTGTGTGTCAATATGAATAATGGAACAAAAATAAGTACAGAAATTAAAATAAACAGAGGAATATTTCAAGGCGACTCGCTCAGTCCTCTGTGGTTCTGCTTAGCCTTAAATCCACTGTCATCATTACTCAAAAAGTTAAAAGGCGTAAATCTAAAGTCAAATGATACAAAATATAATCTAACACATCTACTATATATGGACGATTTAAAACTATACGCCGAAAAAGAATCTGATTTAAATGCAATGATAAAAACAACAGAAACTTTCTCCAATGACATAAATATGGAATTTGGATTAGATAAATGTGCTATAATGAAATTGAAAAGAGGTGTCTACTCAGAAAGACCTGAGTACGAAACTGATAATGGATATATAAAGGAACTAGAAAATGGAGATATATACAAATATTTAGGTATTAAACAAATGCATAAATCTAAAATGACAGCAGTTAAAGAAGAAATAAAGAAAACATTAAATCAAAGAATCATTAAAATACTAAAATCTCAACTAAACTCAAACAACAAATTCAAAGCCATAAACACTTGGGCAATACCTGTACTGACATACTCGTTCGGAATAATAAAATGGAGTAAAACAGAACTCGAGACCATCGAAAGACATATAAGGCGACAACTTACAATGTTTGGAGTACACCACCCTAGAAGTTCTGTAGCACGACTATGTGTTAGTAGAAAACATGGGGGTAGAGGGTTACTAAACATTGTAAGCCTTGAGGCCAAACAGCGAGAACTGTTGAGAAAATACCATCAACAAAAATGCTATGTCTCAGAGCTCCACAAAATAACATCAACACTCGATTACAACTACACACCTCTAAACCTCAGCAATATTGAACATCAAATAGATATACAAAATGAAAAAGAGAGGATTAACACATGGGCCTCAAAAGAACTCCACGGAAGATACCGGGCAGAACTCAACCAAACACACGTAGACGAAGAAATGTCTACAAAATGGTTGAAGTACGCCGGTCTTCACGGAGAGACAGAGGGGTTCATGATGGCAATACAAGATCGAGTGGTTCCGACCCGTAACCATCAGAAATATATCCAAAAGCTAAACATACCAACAGACAAGTGCAGGATGTGTCATATGGAGTCCGAAACAATAGAACATATACTAAATGGGTGTAAAGTACTCACAAATACCGAGTACCTAAGCCGTCACAATCAAGTAGCCAAGATCATACATCAGGAACTGGCAATAAGATTCGGACTAATCAAAGACCCATTACCATACTATAGATACGAGCCACAAAGTGTAATGGAAAACAACAGTGCCAAGCTCTACTGGGATAAAGAAATAAGAACTGATAAGACTGTGGCCCACAACCGCCCAGATATAGTCCTAGTAGACAAACATCAAGATAAGGCGTATATAATAGACATAGCGGTCCCACTAACACATAAATTACAGGACACGCATAGTGAGAAACGTCGGAAATATACAGACTTGGCCTATGAGATCAATAAGATGTGGCGCATTAAGAAAGTTGAAATAATACCTATAATACTGTCATCAATGGCCGTAATACCGAAAAATCTGGCCCTAAGTATGGAATCACTTCAAATAAGAAAAACTAAGATCTATGAAATGCAAAAAGCAGTGATACTTCAGAGTTGTAGAACAGTCAGAAAAGTACTAGATTTGAGTTGAATATAACCAGTCGTGTCTCTGCCACCAAAAGTGGCCGACACAACTGTGATCACACCGGAACAACCGTGATATACAAAGATAATAATAATAATAATAATAATAATAATAATAATAATAATAATAATAATAATAATAATAATAATAATAATAATAATAATAATAATAATAATAATAATAATAATAATAATAGTAATAATAATAATAATAATAATAATAATAKTAATAATAATAATAATAATAATAATAATAATAATAATAATAATAATAATAATAATAATAATAATAATAATAATAATAATAATAATAATAATAATAATAATAATAATAATAATAATAATAATAATAATAATAATAATAATAATAATAATAATAATAATAATAATAATAATAATAATAATAATAATAATAATAATAATAATAATAATAATAATAATAATAATAATAATAATAATAATAATAATAATAATAATAATAATAATAATAATAATAATAATAATAATAATAATAATAATAATAATAATAATAATAATAATAATAATAATAATAATAATAATAATAATAATAATAATAATAATAATAATAATAATAATAATAATAATAATAATAATAATAATAATAATAATAATAATAATAATAATAATAATAATAATAATAATAATAATAATAATAATAATAATAATAATAATAATAATAATAATAATAATAATAATAATAATAATAATAATAATAATAATAATAATAATAATAATAATAATAATAATAATAATAATAATAATAATAATAATAATAATAATAATAATAATAATAATAATAATAATAATAATAATAATAATAATAATAATAATAATAATAATAATAATAATAATAATAATAATAATAATAATAATAATAATAATAATAATAATAATAATAATAATAATAATAATAATAATAATAATAATAATAATAATAATAATAATAATAATAATAATAATAATAATAATAATAATAATAATAATAATAATAATAATAATAATAATAATAATAATAATAATAATAATAATAATAATAATAATAATAATAATAATAATAATAATAATAATAATAATAATAATAATAATAATAATAATAATAATAATAATAATAATAATAATAATAATAATAATAATAATAATAATAATAATAATAATAATAATAATAATAATAATAATAATAATAATAATAATAATAATAATAATAATAATAATAATAATAATAATAATAATAATAATAATAATAATAATAATAATAATAATAATAATAATAATAATAATAATAATAATAATAATAATAATAATAATAATAATAATAATAATAATAATAATAATAATAATAATAATAATAATAATAATAATAATAATAATAATAATAATAATAATAATAATAATAATAATAATAATAATAATAATAATAATAATAATAATAATAATAATAATAATAATAATAATAATAATAATAATAATAATAATAATAATAATAATAATAATAATAATAATAATAATAATAATAATAATAATAATAATAATAATAATAATAATAATAATAATAATAATAATAATAATAATAATAATAATAATAATAATAATAATAATAATAATAATAATAATAATAATAATAATAATAATAATAATAATAATAATAATAATAATAATGCTAAACTAAAATACTAGTAATAAATTTATTAAAGTTTTAATAATAGGTAAAAAACAATAAATACTTACCGTAATTATTTATAAATAATAATATTTTTTTTAATTATATATCAATATTATCTGAAAATATACTGTATATAAATAGTATAAATATTTTGTATACTTGTTATTAAAATCTACAGTAATTGAAAAAATACAAAACAATATATTTATAAACTGTAATTTTCTATACTATATATATAATGATAATATTTTTTAACAAATAAATTATTTAAATTATAATTTAATAAAAAATAATTTAAACCTAAAATAAATACTAATATATATATATCTAATGAATTCAACATTAGATTTGACAACTGTTTGGTCATTATTGTTATATACTGGCAATACTATTGACTATATTAAAAATGATCATGCTGATTTATGGCATAGATTTGATTTTGGCAAAAATATTACACAAATTGATTGCAATAATAATCTAGATATTAGTTTTCTAGATAATAATAATAATACTACTACTAATAATAATAATACAACTATATCGTTGATTACCAAATTTTATTATGTAATTGTATTAATTATACTAAATCATCATAAATTATAATGTTTTTTTTTTAAAAAATTATATTTAATATTATAGTTATATTATGAATTCGACCATGTTTATTATGCAAAATTATCATTGAATTTATTGTTGGAGCTAGCTAAAAAACAAAATACAACGTAAGTATTTTTTAAATGTTATATTAATATTATTATTAATATTAGTATATTTAATAAAATTATTTTAATATTATTATTTTAATATTATTATTTTAATATTAATATTTATTATTAGTATATTTAATATTAGTATACTAAATATTATTATTTTAATATTATTATTATTTTATTATTATTATTATTTTAATATTATTTTAATATTATTATTATTTTATTATTATTATTATTAAATATCTTATTTATACTTTTAAAATTTTTTACTATTAATAACAACATTTAAATACAAATATTGTTACTAATTATATATATATAATTTTTTTTTAAAAATATAAAGCCTTCAATTGATTATAATTGATTGCCCTGATGATTATCCAAACATTACGCAATTACTAGATAGGATGTCCACTAGACTATCAAATATGATTGTTAGCGGATCGTATCGTTTGGAACATAACGAAAAATTTATAATCCAATTACAACATGAATTTCATATGAGTTGGCCACTCTACATTGAATACACTATGGGTATCTATAGTTCAATCAGATATCTACCATTGGATCCGATTATCAATATTACCGAAACATTTGATTGGCCAGTTTGGCTATTACTGGTCCTGATGGCAACCCTATTTGCCTGGTTAGATAGGTATCGTAGTAGTAGTAGTAGTAGTAGTAGTAGTGGTCAATTAGCTGGCAACCCTACTACTACTACTATGTTAATACAAAAAACTATTATTAGCATGATAAATTATTTGCTGATGTATTTCAAGCCATTATTAAATCAATTAGAGATTAAAAAATATTTAACTGGATACTTTATCATATGGATGCTAAGTGTACTACCTATTAGTTTATTATTGAAAAATGATTTGTATTCAAATATGATAAATAAGTATTGAATTTTATTTATTTTTTTTTATTTTTAATAATATATATATATATAGAGTATGTTTCAATAAAAAATATTTAGTTTTAAAAATTTAAAAATTAATTTTATTAATTAAAAAGATTTATTTATTTATTTTTGAGTTAAATAATTTTATTATTATTATTATTTTAAGTAAAATAACTAAAATTTGGATTAATTTTAAACTTAATGATTATTATATTTTTTATAAAAACAAATAATAATTTAATAAATTTTTTTCTATTTAACAAAAAAATAAATAATAATAATTAATAATAGGAAACAACTTTATTATAATACAATCGATGATATTATTAATTGTAAACAATGTCAAGTTTATACAATGGACTATAATCTATGGCAATTTAATAATTACGATAACAAAATTGATCATGATGATACTAGTAATAATAATAATAATGCAGATGAGCATGCTAAATTTTCAAAACTTAGACAAATGTTGCACGAAACAAATTCAATTGATAATCTAAAATCAATGATGTCGACATTTGTAACCAATGATTTCGATGGCTATCTATTGGATAAGGTATTCATTGAGGAACTGTATCTGTTTGATTCGTTATACAATATTGGTAAACGTATGTTTACCATGCACCTGGGTCAACAATTGTTTCCCATGTATGTCATACCATGCTATTATGATAAACGTTTTGCATATAAAAATCAATTACGTCAATTGTAAGTATATAAATAATGTGTATGTGTATGTGTATGTGTATGTGTATGTGTATGTGTATGTGTATGTGTATGTGTATGTGTATGTGTATGTGTATGTGTATGTGTATGTGTATGTGTATGTGTATGTGTATGTGTATGTGTATGTGTATGTGTATGTGTATGTGTATGTGTATGTGTATGTGTATGTGTATGTGTATGTGTATGTGTATGTGTATGTGTATGTGTATGTGTATGTGTATGTGTATGTGTATGTGTATGTGTATGTGTATGTGTATGTGTATGTGTATGTGTATGTGTATGTGTATGTGTATGTGTATGTGTATGTGTATGTGTATGTGTATGTGTATGTGTATGTGTATGTGTATGTGTATGTGTATGTGTATGTGTATGTGTATGTGTATGTGTATGTGTATGTGTATGTGTATGTGTATGTGTATGTGTATGTGTATGTGTAATTTTATTTATTTTTTTAAACAAAATTAACCTAGATCACAACAATTTATGGAATCAGCCCTAATTGATGAACTAAGCAAACGTTTGATGACATATATTAGCCAATCATTGACTTCAACGCTTGAAAATAGCGGCATAACTATTGGCAACAAATTGCATGTCTATTATAATATAATTAATAATTATAATAAAAATTTTAATCAAAATTATAAATTTGACTTGGCTCAATTAGATTTCAAACAATTTGTATCGTTGTTAAAATTTCAAAGTTATTCCCTAATAGTTTGTACCTTGGTATTTATTTTAGAATTATTTTCTATTAAATCAATTGTTAATTAATTAATTATTTATTTTTAAAAAAATACATTTATTTTATAATTACTAAAATTCAATAGTAAACTAATAATAATAATTACTTATTAAAAAAATCAATAGATAGTATTACTAATAGTATTTTTTTATTATTAATACAATTAAATTAAAATATTTAGTATTAGTATTAATTATAATAAATAAATATAAGTTTTATTAATAATAATAATATATTTTTTTGCTTTATAATGATTGTAATATTTATATATATAATAAATGTAAAAAATTAATATATATAATATAAAATACTTTATTAATTAATTAAATAATTTTATAAAATATTTATTTGTCATGATTATTGTATTCATAATTATTATCATTATTAGTAAAGTATATATAAAAAACACAAATATTAATAAATATATTTTTTTATATGTATTTAATATTTAATTAAAAAAAATTATCTAAAAATCAAATAATAAATATTTCATAATTAGTTTCAACAAAAAAAATAATGTTATTTTCATTAGTATTATTAGTATCAATACAATTGTTGTTATATAATGTTAATAATATATTCAGCATTGACTACAATGACATCAATACAACAACAACAACAAAAACAATATCGATGACAATACGGGGACAGTCGGTTCAAGTGCTAAACACAACTGTCCATCAATTTTTAGGCATACCATACGCCAGACCACCGATCGGTGAGTTAAGGTTTGCCAAACCGGTGCCAATCAGTAGCGATGATAACTCTCATAATACTAATGTAAAGTATTTATTATTGATATATAAATATATATTTTTAAAAAAAATAATAACTAAATATTTTAATAATTAAAAAAAATCAAAAAATATATAAATTATTTATAATTAAAAAAAAATATATAATAATTATCTACAATTCTAAACAATAATCATATATAATAATACAAATAATAACTAATAAATTTTGTTTATTTTAAAACATTTAATTAATTATTTATTTATTACAACAAAAAATAAATAAATTATTTATTTATAATTAAAAAAATTAATAACTAATAATTATCTACTATTCTGAACAATAATTATATATATAATAACAAATAAATTTTGTTTTTTTAAAACATTTAATTAATTATTTATTTATTACAACAAAAAATAAATAAATTATTTATTTATAATTAAAAAAATTAATAACTAATAATTATCTACTATTCTGAACAATAATTATATATATATAATAACAAATAAATTTTGTTTTTTTAAAACATTTAATTAATTATTTGTTTATTACAACAAAAAATAAATAAATAATTAATTTATAATTAAAAAATATATATATAATAATTATCTACTATTCTAAACAATAATCATTTAAAAGTTATAATAATAATAACTAATAAATTTTGTTTTTTTTATTTAAAAAACAACATTTAATTATTTATTTTTTTCACAAACAAAAAAAACACTAATAGACTGTATTAGACTGTATTGAACCGAAACCCGTATGCATACAACCACCTGAGCACCTGGATCCCGGATCATCGATGAGCGAAGATTGTCTCTATTTAAACATCTATACACCCCTGGTTAGGACAGGTATGGGCGTACTAAATACGGGCGGACTGTTACCGGTAATGGTTTGGCTGCACGGCGGTTGGCTAAGCATGGGATCGGCCATTGCATATGACGGCAGCTCACTGGCCACCGAACAGGTAGTAGTGGTCACTGTTGGCTATCGGTTGGGTGTATTGGGATTTTTCTATGCCGGTGATGATGACCACCAATCAGCATCATCGGCAGCACCGGGTAATCAAGGTTTCTACGATCAACTACTAGCCATCCAATGGATCCGTCAGAACATACATGTGTTTGGCGGCGACAGTCAATTGATGACCATATTTGGCGAATCGGCCGGCAGTTGGTCAGTATCGGCACATATTGTATCGCCACTATCTGGTGGTGGACTGTTTCGGCGGGCAATTATGCAAAGCGGTGCACTCATGTGGAACCGCGGGCTACCAGTGCTCACCAAATCCGAGGCATTAGCCAAAACCATGACTATTGGCCGGTCGTTGAACTGTACACCCGATACTACTAATAGTGCCGACAATTACCGGCTGCTAAACTGTTTGCGCAATGTTTCCGTCGACCAATTGTTACCGTTTTGGCCACATTTTAGTCGTCCGCTTACGGGAACCGAATTTTTGCCTACCAGTGCTCAGCAGGCATTCGATGCCAACAGTGTCGACACTGTTGTCGATCTGTTAGCCGGTGTTACAGCCAATGAGGGAACGTTTTTCCGACACGATTTCTGGCCACTGGACAACTATACGGTAACAGTGGATGACTTTATCCGAGCAGTCAATCGTACGGACGAACAGTTTCCCGGTATAGACATCCGGTTAGTGGTCGACCACTATCTACGGGGACATCGGAACGACAGTTCAGGACAACAGTTAAGACAAGCGTTTTATCAGTTTTACGGTGACATCGGCTTTATATGTCCGACCTATTTGTTTGCTAAAGAAATGGCCACTAAAAACAAACCCGTATTATCCCGAACTACCGGTTCTACCATTGGTAGTGGTGGTGGTGGTAGTCGTAATAATAATGTCTATTTCTATGAGCTAACCTACCAGTGCTCGCAATGGTCTCGCAGTATCCATTGCCCCGATGATGGCCAACAGGTTTGCCATATGTCTGATATACCTTTTGTGTTTGGCCTACCATTCCTGACACCGGCTAAGCCTATGTGTAGGACACCTACCGATGCCTTATTCAGCAGATATCTGATGAAATTGTGGACCAATTTTGCTAAATATGGGTAAAAATTAAAAAAAATTAGTTTTATTATTATTTTTTGATTATATACACTATATAATAGTTTTAATTAAAACTTTTAGTTAATTATAAATACAATTATTTTTAAAAAATTTATTTTTTTTAGTAAACCAGATATTAATGCTGATAACAATCAATGGCCACAAATGTTACATAATTTTAATGATAATAATAATAATAATAATAATAATAATAATAGTTTATTGAATGAAACAATTGTTTTTGTTAAACAATTAAATCCCCGGTCAATGTTTACGGGAAATTTCGGGGACAGCCAGTCGTTGGGGAACCCGTACGGGAAAACGTGCGATACGTTTTGGCGCAACTATTTTCAAATAGACAAACCAACCCCAACCCCAACCCCACCCCCACCAGCACACCCACACACACCCCATAAACCTAGTTCATCAAATCGTATTCAACTGGATCATTTTAGTTTATTTATTACTACTACTATAGTACTAATTGCTCTTTACATAAAATTATAAATAAATAAATAAATAAATAAATTAAATAAATAAATAAATAAATAAATAAATAAATAAATTTTTATAAAATTTAAATAATTATTATTTAAATTAAAATTATATATAAATAAAAAATAATAGAAAATAAAATAAATATTATATATTCAATATATATATATATAAATAAATAAATAAATAATTTATTAAATATTTTAATCAATAAATAAATAAATAAATTTTTAAATCAATTATATAAATAAATAAATAAATAATTATATGCTTGATATATGTATTGAATAAATAAATGTTGAATGTTATAAATTGAATATTTTGCTAAATAATCCAATAAATAAATAAATAAATAAATATAACAAATGAATAAATGTTATAATAAATAAATAAATAAATCTATATAATTGAAATTAAATAAATAAATAAATAAATAAATAAATAAATAAATAAATAGTAAATAAATAAATAAATAAATAAATAAATAAATAAATAAATAAATAAATTGATTTTGTATTTGTGTCCGATTATAATCAATTTTAACATAAATAAATAAATAAATAAATAAATAAATAAATAAATAAATAAATAAATAAATAAATAAATAAATAAATAAATAAATAAATAAATAAATAAATAAATAAATAAATAAATAAATAAATAAATAAATAAATAAATAAATAAATAAATAAATAAATAAATAAATAAATAAATAAATAAATAAATAAATAAATAAATAAATAAATAAATAAATAAATAAATAATAAATAAATAAATAAATAAATAAATAAATAAATAAATAAATAAATAAATAAATAAATAAATAAATAAATAAATAAATAAATAAATAAATAAATAAATAAATAAATAAATAAATAAATAAATAAATAAATAAATAAATAAATAAATAAATAAATAAATAAATAAATAAATAAATAAATAAATAAATAAATAAATAAATAAATAAATAAATAAATAAATAAATAAATAAATAAATAAATAAATAAATAAATAAATAAATAAATAAATAAATAAATAAATAAATAAATAAATAAATAAATAAATAAATAAATAAATAAATAAATAAATAAATAAATAAATAAATAAATAAATAAATAAATAAATAAATAAATAAATAAATAAATAAATAAATAAATAAATAAATAAATAAATAAATAAATAAATAAATAAATAAATAAATAAATAAATAATAGAATTTTTATGAAAATTTAAATTATTATTATTTCAATTAAAATTATATATAAATAGAAATTAATAGAAAATAAAATAAATATTATATATTCAATATATATATATATAAATTAGTTATACAATAATTTATTACTTATTTTAATCAATGAAATTACCCAATAGTTTGAATTTTTGATTCAATTATATAAGTTTATAGACTAAATGATTATATGCTTGATATATGTATTGAAGCTGTTATTAATGTTGAATGTTATGCATTGAATATTTTGCTATCAATTATCCAACCGATTAGCTAAACTAGTATAACAATTGACATAATTGTTATAATATTTACTATTTATATCTATATAATTGATTTAAAAAAATTTCTTGTCGTCGACAATAGCAATTGAAATTGTTTCACCAATAGTAAATAGTTTCTATTAAATTCATCATAATTGATCATGGTAGCTAATTGATTTTGTATTTGTGTCCGATTATAATCAATTTTAACAAACTTATCAAATAGTTTGCTATTAGATTGAAGTACAGATTGAAGTTTATCCAAACATACGGTCAGTGCCGGTAACTGTTGACGATTATATTTAATCAAACCATACGATCGTATAGTTGTTATACGAAAAATAGTTGAAACAAATCGTTAGGAAAGTCCAGATAAATGCTGGAAAACATACGCTAGCTATAAATAATTTTATTAATTTGACCATGATCAAATCTAAAATATAATAAATTAATTAATTTAAAAAATGATAGTAATGTTAATATTACTGTTTAATTATATATTGTTGAAATTATATAGTAATATAACATAATTAGATTATTAGTTAATAATAATTAACTATAAAATTTTTATTTTAGTTACAATATTTTATTTTAATTAAATTAATTGGTTAAATTAAAAATCTTACTTACATAAAATTAAATTATTACTAGATTGTAATTAATTAAACAAAATAAATGTAAATTACCAAAAAAAACTTAATTAAATTCAATCAACTTAGTTAATATAATAAGTGAAAATTAACTTGATAACTTATATTTTACCAAAAATTGAAATAATATTAACTGAAATGTCAAAAATATTATTTATTATTCACTAAATTTATTAACTAATATCAAAATTATACTGTATTTTGTAAGTTTATTTTACATAATAATAATCTTAATAATGTACTTATTTAAAAAATAAATAAAATATAACAAATATATTTATAATAACTATAGTATATTAAAACTTTATTTTTTTATAACTTATATTTATTTATTTTTATTTTATTATAAAGTTAAATTTATATATTTACTATGATAATAAATGTGTATAATAAGTAAATGTACTTATTTAAAAAATAAAAAATATTTGAGTAAATAAATATGTTAATTAATATATATATATATATTAATTATTGTATCATATTATATAAAGTTATATAGATTTATTTTAATTTTTTTATAATAATATTTTTGTTTAATTTTATTATTGAAAACATTTCCAGTAATAGTGGGATTATTAACAGTTTTATTATAGATATTTTTTAATCAAAAAAAAACAAGTAAAACAAATTACTATTAAAATTATTTTATTTTATTTTTATTTTGAATAAAAGTGTTTATATTATAATAACAATAATAATAAATATTACTTTTTATTATAATAATTATACAAATTTTATCAAATAATAAATACAGTTTTTAGTGTCAATAATAAAATATAAAAATATCATTATTATTAACTAATAATTTTTTTTAGATAAAAAAAAGTAAACTATATATAAAATAAAAAAAATTATTATTCTAATATATTAAATCCAATTAATTATATAAAATAAAAAAATTTTACATTATAATTTTACATTAAATAAACAAATTTTTGATAAAATTTTAGAATATTATATTAATTTTTTAAAATAATTAATTTTTAAAATATTTAATCAATTATTTGAAATAGTAGTCAATGGACTAACTTTAGTATTATTGTGATGTCTATTATTATTATTATTATTATAATTAATAATTGTTGTCTTTTTATTCAATAAATTTAATTGTAAATAATTGTAAGTATAGTTAATTAGCTTAATTAATTGTTTGACAATTATATTGGTTAACATTAACAATGATAAACCAAAATACATAAATTTATTAAAAAAATAACCTTGCCACTTTGAACTAATATTTTTATGATTATTTGTATGATACTATAATATAATATAAATGTATTTTATATTTTTAATTTTTATACTAAAAATAATTTAATTCACTATTTTAATTAAACATTTTTTACTTATTTTTAAAAATTTATATATATTATAAAGTTCAAATTATATTTGTATTATCATAATAAATGTGAATAATAATTAATGTAATTATTTAAAAAATAATATTTGATTAAATAAATATGTTAACAAAAATATATATGTATATTTATTTTTTCATATTTATAAAATTAGATTGATTAAGTTTATTTAAGTTTATATATTTTTATAATTGTAATTTTAATAATATTGTAATATATTTATTTTTAACTAACTTAAATATAAAAAAAAAATATTTATAAAATTTTTTATTCATAATATTTTATGCTTTAATTGTTTAATTATATATAGTATTGTATAGTAATAAATATAGTATTATATTATTTTCATTAATAATTTACATGTTCAAACAATAGACTTATAACTAGTGTCTATTTTTTGTATGTGTAATCTTTTCTTAATATAATTTTTTATAATAATTTTTTTACTTTATATTGAAAAAATATTTTAATCATTAATATTATAAATCATTTTTATTTAGTATTGTATAATTAATCAAAATAATTATGCAATTAATTGTTTGCAATTATTACTATTACTATCGTTAATATTATAATTCAAGTAATATTTTTTATTAAAATATTAATAATTGATTTTATATATGAATTTCGATTTCACTTTTAGTTCCATATGTTTATAAAATTATTATTATTATATATATATATACACTATATATTATAGTTGTTATTAGTATTTAGTATTTTATTAATTTACGCCAATTTTGAAATATATACCAATTATAACATAAATATTTTAATTTGAGCTAATATTTCAACACAAATTTACTATACATATGTATGTCTATGTATGTGTATGCGTGTATATATATATATATATATATATATATATATATATATATATATGAATTATATAAAATTAAGTTATTATATAGATTTTAGTTAATTTTAAAACCACATTTAATCAATGTATTAAATTACTTTAAATAATTAATACATTGTGTAATACATTTAAAAAAAATAATTTGTAATA